AATCGTAAAAATCGATTATCTCCCTGTAGACAAACCAAGGGCCGCTAGTATTTTAACCCTATTAGTTTGGCACTGAGAGCTTTCATTTGATGCTAATAAATCCTGATTTTTCGCTTATCACTTGAAACACCTTCATTGTTAGACTCTCAATTTTTACATCTTGAATTGATTTAAAATACAGAAATTCGAAAGTCTGTTTTCTTTCACGCTGTGGTATGTTAGCGAATATCACAGACCTTCTCAAAAACGGGGAGATTATTCATCTTTAGTCGTGTGACAGAGCGAAAAGAGTATAGCAAGTATGTCCATGTTCAAGAAAAATGAATCCATCGTATTTCAAATTTGAATTCCCTATGACTTACATTGAACGCTTTTGTACATGAAAATCCTAATTTTCGAACAAAAAATAGTTCATAGTGAAAAAGAAAATCGGAATGTAGTATTATATTATACTAAAGAGTAAATCCATGGGTGCCCAACCCTTTTTTGGAAAAAGTTTTTTTCGAGTTTTTTTGCCAGAAAGCTGGAAGGCCGCTAGAAAACGATGTTAGTCAAAAAAAAGATAACGTTCTCTAATGAAATCCTCGAATTCTAGGTCGTTTTCTCGGAACATATGATTTTTTCTAGATATTTAAAAGTGCATATATTCTGAAAAAACCTATCTAGAACTCTGAGTTTTAGAGAAGGTTACTATTTGTTGATCAACAACGTTTCTAGAACGCTTCCGACTTTCGCGCAAAAAACATCGAAAAAAAGCCTTTTTTTCAAAAAAAGTGATTGAGCATCAATGGAGTCACTCTAGAAAATTTTTTCACAACCATCTGGTTTCCACTGTCTACCACGTTTCTTCAAAACCATTTGTGTCTGTGTTGAATAGCCAGTTTCTCATTTTTCTCGATTCGGCTTTCAAGACTATTGTTCTCGTCATCGGACCACAATTAACTTTTCTTCTTTGGATCATAAATAAACTCGGGCATCATTCGAGGAGGAAAAAAGAATTATTGATCAAGTACATACAATATTTGTGAATCCTTTTTAATATAGATAGAGTTCAACTTACGTTTCCCCGCTTTCCATGTAAGATCAGTAATCATCATTTCTGCGACTAGCGATACGCACTAGAGAAAATTAAACTATAGGAATAATATAAGATCCGGGCCTCCTAATACAGCGATCATTCACAACCATTTAGGGGCTTTCTAATCAGAGGAGGCCTTTTAATCAGGGAGAGCCTTCTATTGTGGGGAAGGGTTTATTATTTGTACAACAAGGAAAAAAAAATCAGATATAAAAAATATTTTTCTAGTTTATTTTCTGACTTGTTCGATAATCATTCCACGTACACATAACCGACTATGTTATTAGTCGGCAGCTACAGCTCCCGTTACTCCGCCTACAATTGCTCCGCCGATCGCTCCGAGAAAGAAACCAACTGGCCCTCCCAGTAAACCACCTCCAGAAGCGCCGGAAGCAGCTCCCGCCGCAATACCAGTAAAAATTGATTTATCTGCAAAAAAGTAAATGACAGAACGAGTTGTGCAGTTTTAAATGATGTTGCACGAGGATTGGTTTACTTCTTTTAACACATACCTTTTTTAGCTTCAATTTCTCGACGTCGTTTCTGTGCCAATTGATTTTCCAACTCACGTTGTCGTCTTTGTGCTTCTTCGTATTCCGCCTGTCGTCGTCTTCTCTGTGTTTCTTCATATTCTGCTTGTCGTCGTCGTCGTTCCCTTTCCTCATACTCCGCCTGTTCCCGTCGTTGTCTTTCTCTTCTTTCGTATTCGGCCTGTTGTCGCCTCAGTTCTGCTTGTTCTGCGGCATGAATTCTTTCCTGTTCCCGTCGCCACTGCAATTCTCTCTGTTTCTGTTCTTCACGTCGTCGTCTTTCTTTTTCTTCAAACTCCTTCTGAAGCCATCTCACTAAAGCTTCATGAGCGGCACGATCTTGTTCAATTCGTTTTTGTGATTCTTCCACTTGTTTACTTAGCCCAGAAATTTTATCGGCTTCTAGATATATGGCATGTCTTCTGTCATGTTGTTTAGGCAATGCATCTCGGACAATATGAATTAGTTTTTGTCTAACTGCTTGTTTTTCTTGATCGGTTTCGATTTCACTGACGCATTCAAAGTGAGGAAGATGCGTTTTAAGAAGATGGCTTACTTCATTTTTCATTTTGTCGTCATAACCGAGTTTGCGTCTTCGTGGCAGATTATTAACAATAACAGCCAGAGATTTTTGACTAAATGAGTACGCATCATTGATAGCATTAAACGCAACAATATCCTCTTGTTTAGGACGTCCACCTTGATGTCCTAAGACGAAGATGACTACGGCATATGGATGTTGTTTAAATGCATAATCAATTTCACGCTTGTTCAAGTCGATTCTCTGTTGATCAGCTTCGATAAGGCCAGGAATATTATAAACAGTGTACGATTGACCGTTGAAATATGCTTTGGCACATTCCGTTTTGATAGTTACAGCAGTCGAATCAAAGTCATGTTTGAATCTTTCATATCCCAGAATAACATTTCCAAGGAAGCTCTTTCCCACCCCACTATTACCGAGAATTATTATTCCAACACCGCTCATTATGGCAGCTCCTGGTTTCCTGAGTAGTTTCTTAATAAAACTTTGTTTTTATTTTGAAACTTTGCTGAAAATTCGGCTCTTTCCTCTACGTTTATATATCTATAGGTAGAACGAGTGTCGTTGGGGTTTTTTCTCTTTTGTTTCTTATCTGTGGTAGCATTTTGTTTGTTACTGCACTTGTGGGTTGGGAAAAAGTCTATTATCTTTTCCAAAATATCATCAGGCAAAGTGCATGTTGGGAAAGACTATGCAGAACAGAGTTGTGATAATTTTTTGTTGCGAAATTATTGTGCGCGGGTGTGGGTGTGGATGTGGGTGTGGGATGTGGGTGTGGGTGTGAGT